CAATAAATATGATACACATCAACAGAAAACCTGAAACAACAGAACTGTAGTATCTCACATATCTGGATTGGCTTCCTCTGGAATTACTGTCAAAATGGCCGTTTCATCATTTGCTCTTTTCACAACCACCTTTATCGCTTTTCCAATTCTGTCGCTCATCATCTCAATGATCTGCCACAGATTCAGTGGTAAAAACCTCAGCAAGAACAGTTCATGTAGATTTCCCGATGAGTATGCATTCTGATAGAATAATTTTATGTCTACGTTTTTAGTCTATTTTGATTCTGTACCACAATTTTTGTAAATTTAAACCATGCAACCAGGTCATGGACGCAAAAGGTCTTCCAAGCAAAATCTACTAGCCAAAACCTCTCCCCCAGTAAAACCATGAAACAGAAAGAAAGAAAGAAAAATGGTTGAATACCTCCTTGATAGATTCAACTGGCTTTCCATCAAATTCAATGACAGCATAACCAGGGTGGAATCCAGCACGATCAGCAGGAGATCCAGGAGTCACCGGAACATTATTTGGAGCAAGTTAATACGAAAAGTGACAAGGCACAAAGACTCCCGTATATATTTAAATGGTCAGGAACAAGATCATTAATACCATATAACCGGCATATACAGAAAGTCAGAAACACAACAAAATGGGAAGAAAACATACCATAGCTACGAGGACACCTTTTTTGACATTAGAAAATGTGACAACTCTCTCTCTAAGTTGAGCAATGATCATGTCATTAAGATCGAGCATTTTAAATCCAAGCCAAGGCCGAACGACTCTCCTCTACAACATGGCCTTCTGTGGTCTGACATCTCATTTTATGGATGATCTGATGGTAAATAAAAAACTTCGAATACGTGTAAATTTTTCAATATTAAAAATTTTATATCTCAATATGCTAGCTGATTTAAGACCTTCAAGTTTCACCATCACCCCTGAACAACCCACCATCACAACATAATTTTCAAATACGTTCTTAAAGGTAATAAATTTTCAAAATGTTCATCAAAATAGTTATCTTCCTTCAGTAAGGTAAATTAGATAGAGAGCACAACACATTAAGAGCAGCTATTCCATGCTTGCACCAATTTTTTCTTCTAAGGAGTGTGAAGAAGAAATAGATAAAACCTTGGGGGAGACATGATTAGCCATTTCTTGCTCCTTCCAACTTACTTGAAGAAGAGTTGTAAAAGCATGGAATTGGCATTCCTAATTTGCTTCGCTCTCCATCTAATTTACCTTATTTTATATTTTGACCAACGAATAACTATTCCACCAACCAAAAATGCTCTGAATATCATATCATATATGTATGCAATGCATTTGTATCTAGGCACCTAAATAGTTCCACACAGAAAATCAGAATATACCCACTCTTCTTGAAGTGCTCTATATATGATTTTGATAACCGAGTCAATAGGTACCGCAAAACTCAACCCATCTGCTATTATGACTTTCATTATATTGATGCCAACAATTTCTCCACCAACATTAACAAGAGGACCACCCGAATTTCCCTACACCAAGAGAGCAAAAAGAAAAGAATATCCATTAATGATAGTCCACCGTTAGCTGCTAACTTCAATATTACTAAAACCAAATAGTTTTGTCCAAGTAAGCCTTTCATGTGAGAAATTTGGTAATATGCCCAAACACAGATAAAAATCCATAA